GAACTCCTGAGCTCAAACAATCCGCCCGCCTCGGCCTCCCAGAGAGCTAGGATTACAGGCGTGAGCCACCGTGCCCGGCCAGGATTTGTTTTTATAAGTTTTTGCCCCATTCTTCGTTGTGTTTTACAATATATACTAGTACAGTACTTCATATATTTAATTTAATAATCACTATACATATATCAGGGGCATATACTCAAACTGTTCTACGGTGAGAGCTCCATGATCAAAAACTTTGAAGACAGCTGCTTCAGGCAGTGGCAAGTTGACTAATTTTCTCCTTCCCATATTACGTTTTTGCTGACCCTCACTACTGATCCACATTACCTTGTTGCTTGGACTAACACAATAGTATTCTAACTCCTCTTCCCGTCTGTATGCTCTCCTCGCAGCTTCCTAGCTGCTAGGATGACAAAGATGACTCCTTCCCACTCATGGACACGCGTTCATTCAGCGCACACGTATGATAATAAAATACGCAGGCCATGTAATGCGGGTGGGAAAGGATGTGTGCGGAAAAGGCTTCACGGAGGAGCCTGCGTGCTGTCTTTGAGCCACTGAAGAGCCCCAAGGGATTAAAACCCTTCTTTCCAGGAAGCAGTATGATAAAATTTGCATTTTTAGAAAAATTGCTTCCAGGAAATCTGGAAAATGGAACGAAGGGGGAAGAAATCAGGTTGGAAGAACCATAGCAGACTATCCGGGTGGGGAAGAATTTCAAGGAGCAGTAGTAGTATCGTTAAAAGTTAAAAACAGGTCAAGAAGTGCTTGCTAAATTTGGCAAGATTACTGGTGACCCTTTGTCAGAGCAGTGCTGGCAGCCGTCTGGCTACAGTAGGCTAAAAGCCAACGGGACTTAGGGAAGTAGGTACGTGCCCCTGTTTTGAGGAGCCCTATTATAAAGTGAAGGACATTAGCAGAGTGGTGTAGAGGTGCACATAGGCTCAAGAGTTGTGTGTGTCCCTGTTTAAAAATGGGAGTAATGTAAGCATGCTCGCTGGCTTTAGGCAAGTAAACAGTAGAAGAGCAGTTTGAAATAAAGAGAATGGGAACTAACTGATAGGGAAAAGTTGCAGAGAAGACAGGAAACGGTACAATTGTTAACAGTTGAGGTGGAGGAATCAATCCTATTTTTTAAAAATACAACAATAAATGACTACAAAAGGCCTACATACATAGTCCAAATTCATTAACCTGGCATCTAAATTTTTAAAATAATTTATCTTCAAAGTATTTTCCACTCCTCTACCCATCTCTTTACATTTTTCCACACTATTCCTAAAGTGCTACTTTCCTCCTACCCCCTTTCCCACCCATAAAGCTCTTTTTGATCTTCCCATAAAAGTGTTTTCTCATCGTTTAACTCAATACATCTCATTAATAGCTTAAT